TTTGCACCTACAAAGTGTAAGGTCATGCTTGTGGACGTGCAGTCACTGAACACGCCCCTTACAATCCAGGGAGAGGTACTGGAAGTTGTGGAGCGTTTTACGTATCTTGGGAGCTGTATTAGTTCTGATTGTAGTGTGACGGATGAGGTGAATGCTCGAATCTGCAAGGCTCGGGCCGCGTTTGCTAACTTGCGACACCTATGGCGTCAGAATGGTTTATCTCTGAATCTGAAGGGACGTGTGTATCAAGCTACAGTACGGGCTGTTTTGTTGTATGGCTGTGAGACTTGGCCTATTCGAGCAGCGGACCTGAGACGTCTTCAGGTGTTCGACAATCGTTGTCTCAGAACCATAGCTCGTGTGGGTTGGTGTCAGCGAATCCGTAACGAGTCAGTTAGAAAGGGTGTTTTCGGTTGTGTAACGGGCACTTCCATTGAAGAATGTGTCCAGCACCAGAAGCTGCGTTGGTTGGGACATGTTTTACGCATGCCGAACCATCGTTTGCCGAAGAGAGTACTGTTTTCCATGCCCAATTCAGAGTGGCGTAAACAGAGAGGTGGCCAACCCATGACCTGGCAGAGGAGTATGAAGGAGATCACGAAACGCCTGGGTGCTGTCGGTGCTACTCGCCTTCCAGGATGGGGACCGCGTGATCCTCACTGTGCCTGGTTGGAGACACTACAAGATATGGCTGCCAAACGATATCAGTGGCGTTCTTGTTGTCAGTTTCTGTCCAGATTTCCTGAGTGAATGTCTGGAGGTGTAGGCACCTCGGAATGATTGTGGTAAGGTAGCACTAAGTCCCTTCCCCTTCCACCTCTATTCTTTTCTTTACAATGTGGCTTTCAAATAAATGGGTGTACGGCATTGAAGCATCGGTGTTGAACACTGATGTCATGCTGTTGATGATGATGATGAGTAATTATGAAGGACGATAATTCCAACGAGCCTGAAAGGAACATGACAGCCCACCGTCAACAGCCGAAATCCAGCATGAAATATCAGTCAATCCCGAATTATCAGCTCCCTAACTTTTCAAAGCTGATAAAACCATGGTGAACAGTCCAAGAACCATAGTGCACAAGTGTTGGAACGGAAAAACACTGGCGAAGTGGGACATCATGATCCCTGTTTTTAAATACGGGGCAATTGAATTTCACGCAAAAGTCATTGCGTCATCATCCTGGTAGCCGGGCCGTCCAAGCTGTTCTCTGGCGTTATGAAGCACAAGTTGGACGATTGCCGGGACACTAGCTGATGGTAACCAAGCTGGGTTTTGCCTGCCCGAGGGTTCATCAACCATATCTTTACCTTGGGACATCTTCTTGAACTTCCAAACGATGGTAATTTTTCGTGACCAGAAAGCTGTACTTAATTTAATCGATCATCAGAAAACGCTCTAAGGCGATCAAACGTGTTGTTTCGAAATTCACTTCCTTAATGGGAGCACTATGCGAACTCATGTGGGTGCGTACAGGCAAACATAAAGCTTTCGCCTTAGTTCACCACCAGTTCAGTGGCGTAAGACAAGACTGATTGCTGTCACCATTTCTCGTCACTTTTATTAATATCGTTCTGCTTGAAACTTCTGTGTCTGGCTCAATGAAAACCTGGAATCATGAATGCTGAGTTATGCCAGGTGGGTCTAGGAATAAAAACCCCTCACGCTTCGTAGGCTACGCTGGTCAGGACATGTGCTTCAGGCGTCGGAGGACTGTCTCGCAGACCTCTTCACGCAGCCATGTCTAGAACGGGAGCGACCGAGTGGTCCCTAGTCTATAGCCTGGGGATTCTGGGACACTACTCGTCAATGGTTAATAACACTGGCGGATACGGCCCAATCATGTAGTCAGAACTCCTGCGTCAAAGCTTTGGGCTTCAATGCGCAGCTACCCAGTTTTCTTTCGAGATCGACATAGCTCAGGTACCAATTTGCTGCGAAAGACCCATGGTTCGAAATCAAGCCCTTCATCCCGACTGTTTCTGTCTAGACTTGGGTAACCTGACAGTATCTCAGTCCTCGAACTCCGCTTGAGTAGCATGACGGCTAGGCACGGAAGGTGTTACATCTGCACAATTTATTTGATTTATATTTCCGCTCCTTTAATTAGCTCATCGTGCCGTCGGCTCCGATACACTGCTGTATCTCCTCTTTCTCATTTTCTGGTCACAGACTAGCAGCTGAAATCGACGTATCCTTGGTGCGTGGTTTACAAAGTTGCCAAACGGAACCAAAACGATCAGTTGGCATGGATCGCACATGGTCCTGTCTACGCAGCCGATGGTGCAAGGTATTTTCCGCGACTGAAGTGACTTGCGCAAATAAACAGTCGTTTTCTAGTTCGGGCGAGATGGCCCAAGTGATTAGAGCACGAATTTACTGACCGGAAGGTCCGTGGTTCGAATCCGACCTCCGCTTCTCGACTTCCCCTGTATAGGCTTGGGCAACTTGGCAGTATCCCAGCCCTCATGCTTCCTTCGGGCGGTATGGCAGCTAGGCACCGAAAGGGTGCTACAGCTGAACGCTTTGTTTCTTCTTTCTACTTATCCAGTAGTCCGAAGACGCCATTTGCTAACAACTATTGATGGTCAAAAGCTGAATGCACCTCAGTTCATTCGTCGACAGAGGCTGTACTTCGCAACCACACAATCTCGTACTCTAATCTGTCACTCATAGGCCTGGAAACGCAATGGTGCACCACTTTGACACCATAATTTGACGAATGATAGTGGACCTGATTCAGGCATTCGAGGTTCGTTCGCTGACTCTAAAGGTTTTCGTCAGAGCTAATACAATTACCGACTTACGTGCAACCCTGCACCCTCACTGCTTGAGTCACGATGGGCTTATTCATAGAATCTACTTTTTAAAGCATGAATGTTCTTGGCATATACAAGGCACATGTCGAAAGGTGGTATGACGGTGGTCAGTTTACTCATCATCGCTTGTGCTTCGTTTTCGTCTTCAAAGATTAGGGCGCTATTGTCTGCGTACTCCAGCTTGATAACAAAAGACGATATGAACACCGGGACTTTGGGGATCTTCATCGTTTGCCTCACCATCCCATCGATTACGAAGAAAATCAGAGAACGTGAGCGTCCTTGCCGAGATGTTAGAAAGATCCCATACACAGAAGTTATGTGTAAAATCTTCCTTCGGGCTTGTGCTTCTCTGAGACTTCAGGATAAACAGCTTGAGTTTGTTTATCGACTTACACCAGCAGCTACATGGGCGGTGAGTGTGCTATGGTGGATGAACTTAATGTGTGGAATAAAATGCTTGGGCGATGTTCGTCAGCTTGCGTCGTTTGTGGCGTCAGGGACGGACTTCACTAAATCTGAAAAGTCGTGTTTTGCTTGAGATACCTCAGTGGTTAAGGCCCAGACTTACTGACTGAAATATTTGTGGTTCGAACACAGTCTTTGTATCTCAGCTACTCCACCGGGCAACCTGGCAGCACCCCAGTCCTAATGCATATTTCGGTTAGCGTGGCAAATATGCACCCAAAGGGTTTGAGCTGAATAAGAATAGTTTAGCAAGCGATTGTCGGGGAAAGGCTCACGGCAAACTGACTACGACATCCCAGCGTGAGATGAAAGTGGCCGCAAACAGACCGAGTGCGACGACATCCTGCTAGCTGGACATGAAGCACCTGCTTTTAATTCCTAACAGAACTGCCTAGCTAAAGTTCGCCTTTCGTTGTGCAGTGGTCTTACGTCGGGTGAGGTTCGCAAAGGATGCTGTGCCAATCCTGCTGGTAATGCCTTATTCCACGTGATGCTTAGGTATGTTTATTTTACTTGTGTCTGAAGGTTCAGGCATCTTGTTGTTGATCGGTTTCCTTATGGACAGAGGGCTTCTTCGTACTAAATATCTACCCTTGTTTTGTTGTTCTTTACTAAGGCTCTCGTTGGTGTATGACAGTTAAGTGCCAGTATGTATTACTGATATGCTGTCGTCGATGGTGAATACATCGAATACATGCCAGGAACTATATGAATATAAGGGTGGGATTATTTTCAAGATCTGGGACATCTGTTAAGCAATCCTGTTTGGAAGCACCGATCGATCGATAGAGTCAAAAACACCCTCGAGGCCAGTGGTGGATCATCTGTGCATTGAGCGTCACTCTAACCTTTGACGGAGTGTGAAGAACTGATCGATCGTCGAGGTATTCTGCCTAGTGGTTCAGACGTCGCTTCATTGGATATCTGTTAGCTACTGTAGTCTATCGTATTTTCACTGACAAAGAGGCTTCCAAGAATGAATCAGATGGAACTACATGCAGGTGTTTCAAGTATCCTCTCTATTTTCCTCGGCTTTGTGGATCTCCCAAGCTCCCCGGTCTGTGCAGACACTCAATATTACCAGGTGTCGTTTGATGCATCGTGTTGGTTGAGACCGGAGGGAATCGGTCGCTGCGTCCCCAGTAATGGTACAGTCTTGTCAGGGATCCATTTCTCGGAAGGGATCGACTGGGTTGTGCCGCAAGTGGAAATTCGGGCATCACATACAGCTTCGGATATGCCGTTCTGATGATCCTTAATACCCTACATCTGGGTAGCACGCGTGCTCTAGATGAGCTAATTCTGGTACATTTGTTTGATTTCGTGGACTATCAGCACCTAGGTATTTTTTCGCGCCGAGCTGAAGAGTTCAGTAGGAGTTAGCAACGGACAACCGCGTGGATTCCACACAGATACTCCAGAAGTAAGAGCAAGTTGTCTTCAAACTTCTTAACCGGTGGTTCATCATTCTTTTCGCCATTGGCAGCAATACTGGAGAACATTGTTGCTCTAGTGCTATACAACCATTTCACTTTGTTTCTAGGGGGCGGGATAGCTCAGTGGTTAGAGCGCGAATTTACTGACCGGAAGATTCGTGGTTTGAACCTCCGACCTCTGCCGCTCGACTTCCTCTGTCTAGGCTTGGGCAACCTGGCAGTACCCCAGCCCTCATGCTTCCTTCGGGTGGCATGGCAGCTAGGCACTGAAAAGGTGTTACAGCTGAACGATTTTTTATTTTTATGGTACCTTTAAGTCGAAAGCAGTGTTACCGGGGAGGAACTTAGGCCAGCCTACCACAAATATCTGAGGTGCCAACACACCTGGAATACGCCGTAAGGCATTGTGGATAAAAACTGACACAGTTTACACCACGGGTATCCGTCAGCTGTAATATTGTTGTGTCCAACCAAGCGCAAAGCGGCTCGAGTGGACCCATTGTGGAAGGCAATTATCACAAACGGCACCCAAAATTTTCGTGATACTTCACTTCCTCCTACCATCTCCAATTCAAGTACATGTCTTTTCACCATGTCCTGTTTTCTTATCACTCCATCAAGAATCTGCTGGTTCTATTGGTGTACAGTGTATGGTAGCCATAATATAATTCAGAAGTTATATGCACTAATAAAAGTTTCCACTATGATAGACAGTGGTGAGTTACAACACGTATAAAAATAAATCCAATATGGAATGTGGAGCAGGCCAAAAGAGGAACTTGTTGTTTTTGAGGGTTCCTTGGTGAAAATCCGGACGGCTGAAACGTGTTTTCTCCGGAGTATAGCTGCTACACGTGTTCCGTACTTGTTCTTGGACTTGTGAAGAGTGGTTGACTTTCTGCTCCCTGCGCGCTCTAGTCTGTATGTTGACTGTGTTCGATATTCTTGTATGTACGTGTATTTGCGTGTACGTGGGAGTGTCAGCACGAGTTATTGCTACGCTTACTAGACGGTACAGACAGTCGGTGTCAGATGAGCCGCCTTTGTGTGACGTGGTTTGTGAGTGTAGAAAAAAGACTATTCTCGTGACTATGACCTAAACACTCAAGTATGTGGGTGAAGGAATAGCTAAGTTCCAGTTATAGTTCTGAGATACTGGTGGTCCGGAAGGTTCGTGGTTTGAATCCACTCTCAGCATTTCGACTGCTCCTTTGTAGTCTTGTGTAACCTGACTGTATCCCAACCCTCGTGCTTTTTTGGATAGTATGGAAACCGAAAGGTTACTACAACTGGACGATTATTATTGTTGTTATTATTATCATTAGCAGTGTTTCATCCTCTGCCACACAACAACACAGCCCGTACAAATACACGCACCCTTTGAGATTCAGAGATATGCCTTTTTTAATGCAGCAAGTGGTGCAAATTGTCTAAAATGATTCTGGCTTTTGAGATTCGTACATTGATTTCGTTTGTTGCGGTACCATCAGAACTAATGCAACTTCCGAAATGGGTATAGCGTCTCACAACATCAAGTATCACTCCTTGATTTCATAAAGGCATGTCCAAAAATTGTATTTCCTGTGGCATATGTGAGCTTTATGGGCGTGAAGCACCTGCGGAAGGACCGGATGCCTTCGGTCATTTTTGCTAGTGTCGTTTTGCTTCTTTTCACAAATCATCTTCATATTTCATTCCGGTAGGGTCTCATTACCTCAGAAACTATGAAATTAGACGAAAATGGATACACTAGATGCCCTTTTCGACCACCACTGTCTGTAGATCACATTTTGAAGAGCTCTCCATACGCTCACCCTACTAGAAGTACGCGAATACAGACAGCGCGTGACATTCGCGAACTTCTGGTGCATACCTTGTTGCACAAGCGTCTTGAAAAAAATTGACCAATCGACAGAATAAAACCAAATTGACGTCAAGTTTGTAGGGCGCCTGTACGCATGCCGTCGTTCTGCGTACCCTTTTTTGGAAGTGGGTCGCACTGTCGACTCTCCTTGGTTGGTACGATGTTTTCTACCCAGATAAATTCAACTACTGGACAACTGCAGGTCCCGACCTAAAGCTGCCACGTGACGTGTTGGTCGGGCTTGAGTGCTGCATTGATCCCGCGGGCTACACTGACTGGAACATCTTTCCACAAGGTACAAACCATGCCAGGATGGCCAAAGGGGAGCAGCGAGACCCCGTACCACGAGTAATCGTCCTACGACGCGGTCTGCAGGTAAAGCTGTACTGTTCTCTGCGACAGGAGTGCAAAGACAGTAAGATGTTTCCCCCAGGCGACTAGCATGTTCATATTTATGGAAGCAGCGATGCTGCCTTCCATCGAGAAAGGACGGCTAGAAAACGTCGACCCCAAAAACCGCACTCCAATCGCCCGACGATTGACTGTAACCGCCGGCGCATTATTCAGTATGGTCGAGATACTTTTAGAACCAAGGAGCCTGGTGCTGCTCAGAAGGCACCTGCTGTGCGCGGCCACATCACGAATGAGACATTAATGCCTTATTCCTTGCGCCGTCGGGTTAGGCCAACCCCCTGCAACCGAGCAGGTCAGACTGTTGAGTCATCGGCTCCTGGAAGGGTCCCCGAAAAAACCTCTACATTCTCCCCTTGTGTCGTTGGTCAGACTTTTGTGTCAAAGGCTCAAGGTGGGGTACCTCAACCTATTCATCTTCCTCGGCCTGGGCGACCGGGAAGTATCATTTGCCCGCGCAGTTCGGTGTCCACCGAAGTCCCCCGCAACCCCTTCCCACCACATAAACAAACGTCGCTGGGCCATTAGATTGTCAATTGTTTGACCGAAGGGCCTTAGACTCCTCGCTGCTCACCAACAATAAACAAAATAACACCCTTCTAAATCCACGAGATACTTTTTATGTATGGGCTTTTGACGTCCGTACTTCGTCAAATTGGTAAACAGGCGATGCATGCCGAAACCTTACACCCCCCTAAAATTTTTGTATGCTGTGTCTCCGAAACACGCATACAAGACCCGAGCGTGGTTTTGCTTCTTGGTATCTGAAGGATGAGCTCAGTTCTTCCACATTTCTCCCTCCGTTTGTTCGGTGACCCAGAAGCGGTAACTGGTGGAATATATGGCGTGGGTATTACACTCAGCCCCAGAGCTGAACGCGTTTTGCTAGATTGGATCACAGTGAACAGCCAACTTAGTCGCGTTGGTAACTGTCGTATCCCTAATCGGAGACTCCTAGACGAGACGAACGAAGTGTTAGTGACCTCGACAGACAAATATGTCATACAGCCAGTGGTGGCCTTCAAGGCTATTTTGCCGAGGGTACTACCGAATTGGCTTCATCGGTTCAAGTTTCAGTTCCCCATCGCGGGACAACTATTTTCATCTTCCCCTGAATGAAGTTGTGACTTCATTCTCTCCAGGTTGTTTTTCCAACATCTGGTCATATCTACATTTTCAAGACTAGGATTAACATCCTTTTTGCCCAATGGGGTAATTTCTTCATGCCCCACTGATCGTTTCGTGCTTTTAACCGGTTCACTGGGGGGATCTTCCTCTAAACTACTTCTATGAACAACAAAAAGTGCCACGTGTCCTACCTCGAACTTTCTTCGTCATTGTCCGCAGTGGTTTTGCTTGCTTATCACAATATATCGCAATCCATTTTGGCTCGTCTGTGCTACCTAGACATAATCTTGTCGTTATTTTTTTCTCCTCTGTCAGGTTATGCAAAAGGATTCAGACAAGAACGTATCAATCAAGAAACTATGGAAATGAACCCGCGAGCGAGCTTCAGTTCTTTCAGTTTTTACTCGACTACGCGGACGATTTATTTCCTTTTGTAAAGACGTTGTGAATAAACCTCCTCAAACCCGCTTCGCGCACAAAGTTACCGTAGATGTCCTTGACCTGTGTTACCTGCAGTCGTCACTCCAATCATTCTTTATCTCTTCCTGCTGAAGCATGCATTCATCTGACCAGTGGGGNATCTGACCAGGGGGCTTTGCGTTAGCGTGGTTCCTTTTCTTACCCATAATCTTTAACTAATCTATGCAAACAGTTACATTGAATTGTCCTCGTGCTTGAATGATCCAGTGCCTTAGACGATCTCGTCAACCAGCACAAGTCATCCTTTATGCATGAAATCTACGTTAACATCGCTAGCTGGTCAACGCTGCCTTTCAATAGGCGTTCTGAATTACTTGACAGTACATTTATCGTTGCCAGGACAGCTTGGGTTTTAAACACGTGATGCGGATGGTTCCTGGACAAGTGTTTCTGAAACATGGGAAATATGTTCGGCACAATGTTAGGGTGGTTTAAAATCACCTGCTACCCTTCGCATGTTACAAAGGTCTAGGCTGACCGGTTTTATCCATTCTTTTTTCTACTCGATTTACAAGAATGAGCGAATTCGTGTTCGGTTGGTTTTTATCTCTTCAAATGATAGGGCATGTCATGTGGAAAGCGCTTTGCACGTGAGGCAGTGCATTTCAAACACTAAGTGACGGAAGGTCACGCGACTGGGAGTCGGCCCTTTTTGAGCGCTACCAATCGTTGACTTGAAAGTTCATGGTAATATGCTGCATTTATTTGCCACCCACTCTCTGGTCGTCTGGGTATTCGACAGACGCGTATTGCTATCGTCTGTTTTAACGGTGGACTTCTTGGAGTCCGTTTTTTTAGCGTGATGAGCTTTGTATTATATTATAGCTTGTTAGTAAGGGAACAAAGACCATCCACGCAACTTCTATATGCGCAGTCGGAAAGATCCCAATTGTGTATGAAATAACGTTCCTAAGCATGCTCCATTGTTCACATCACTTGGTTTTCCATAGAATCGCTAATAACCTCTGTATCTGCCACATTAGCTACCGAAAATGTGGAATTCAGGACAGCAACACTAAACTTATCCCGGTCAGTGCCCCATTAGATACTAAATATGGGTTCCACTTGGGTGGATTGCACGCAATCGTGGCCTAGGTTAATCAATGGCCGGGTTGTGTCGTAAATTTGATTATCTAGATTGTTGCGGCACAGAATACCTGTAGAAAATCCTTAATAAATGAAATAAATTTGAAAATTGGCCGTAATGTGCGCCACAAGTTTATCAGTAGAGACTACAAGTTTCCACATTGTAATAAGTACTTTGAGTTGGCTACTGTTCAAATGCTTGTTTCCCCAAGCGAAATGTTGAATCCTATGAGGTGGAAATGGAGGAATGACACTGAGTATACCAAATTGGTTTGTGTTTCCTTAGTGTAATGGCGAGAACACCTCAGAAAAACTGTCAGTGCTGACATGATTTCATCGCGACGTTGGCTTTTGGTCCGATTTGTCTAACTAGTGTTATTCTTTGATCTAACTTTTCATCTCTCATCGGTTCCTAAGAACGATATGCGACAAATATCGGCTGTAAAATGAGTCAGGCTGATTCCGATTGAAGTAGTACTTTTAGTGATTGTGATTGTGATCTCACCATAAGTCACCACCCCACATAGGACATACTTAGACCGTCGGTACTACCACAAAACTTCGGAAACTACATGAACAACGCTTTACGGGTTTGCTTTAGGTGTACATAATACAAGTTTCCCTCCGTCTACTTATTCAGAAAGCCAAGCTGGTTGTGGGTGAGGACTTATTTCTAGTTTAGAAATGTCAACATAAGGAGCCTTAAACCGAAAGCTTACGCTCAAAAGCGAACGCACACTCAGTTTATGTATGTTGATCGCGAAGCGAATTTCGGCAGAACAAAGTCATTTCGCATTTGACGTATGACGCAGCATTAACGTGATGTGCTCCCCCCCCCCTCCGTTGTTCGAAATGGCCACAAATTAAGCATTCTTTCTTTACTGAGCAGCTATCGTCGGCTGGCTTACCGCAGCCATCGAACGATGCTTTGTGCAACTTGTTGACTAGTAATTCACAGGAATAATTTAACACGTCCGTGTACGCCAAACTCGGTATGCATTCTTGAAACTCATGCTTTTGAATGAACTGTTTTTCGTAATAGAACTGTCTAAAACCACGTTCTCCTAAAAACACCAGTTAGGATAGAATTGTTGACCTGAAGACATTACAAGCATGTGCTGGTAGATTTTCACCCATATTTACTTCAAGCTAATTCTCAATGCGACAATGATGGGTGCGTGACTGCCTTGACACAATCCAGTAGTCCGTTGTATCACCTTATCATTTCGGACCATCTGATCCTACCTCATTCGCAACTCGTGCTTTTGTAAATCCTGTATAGTTGAAGGAAAACAGCACTATAAACAGACAGGTGGCTTAACTTAATGCACTTTCCCCGCGCAAGAGGACGATTTGCGTCAGTCTTGCTGGCTTCGTCTCTTAAACTGGACTTCACTTCATCTATTCGCACCGACAGTTTTTTTCGAGGCAAAATTTCTACCAATAGCCCAAAAGACTGTGTACACTATGCGGCTAGGTGCGTTCAGTTTTTTCTAAGTGAAAAATCTCTTGCACCGGTCTGCACTTACGATCCAACACGTGCACCGACCAAAAGAAAAAAACAGCTACCTCTACGAATATGATAAATCCCCAACAAATATAGGTCTTGCAGCCGTATTAGGAAAGCACTTCCCCATCAGGATAATGTATTCCCAGAACTTTAACAACAGGACAGCAGTACGTTGGCCTGTAACTGGAAGATGGAGAGTTGAGGCACTATTCCATGGTGAAGCACAACAGTCTAGCTGACTAGCATTGCCAGCTGGAGTTTATTGCGAATTCCTTGCCAAACCCGATGAAGCTACCGCCAGTACAACCATAGGCTATTTCAGGAACGCTCCAGAAACTCAAAAGCGTCACGAGGGCCTAGGTTGTGGACAAAATATGAGCTGTCTCTATGGGGAGTGGTCGTGTTCGTACAGGTGAGTGCACACCTGTGCGGTTTCGGATAACCGTGACCCGTTTGAAAGTGAAAAGGACCCGCAAGTCCTGAAAGGTATCGGCGCAATCTCTCACTTGGATGGCAACGCCACGTGCCGTCACCGGTTGCAAATCCGTGAACCACCTACAGCTGATTCGTATACTTCCACCATTCACTAACCTGCCTGAACATGTTTACCCGTCATATTTCAGGTGCCTTTTATTGTTGTCGCTTGATCTGTCACGTGCCATGCTGGTACGCTCGTGACTGTCTGTATCTGTCCTCCATTTGTCTGTATCCATATCACACTTTTGTCTGCCAGTGTGACAAAGTTAGGCAGTATCCTTTCTCTCCAACCCTGCCCGTGTCTATCTTATTAACTGACCATTCTCCTGCCCACTTTTCGGCATGACATTCAGCTGCGACCACATAAATGAGACATCTGCCAGCTGTCGTTTGTTCAGCCCCATTATCAGGAGCTCTCTGAGCGTGTTCTTGGGCGTACGGCTGCCTCCGCTTCCCAGCGCTCTGAAAAGCTGGCGTCCGTGTTCTCTGTGTATAGAACCTTATTCAATAGTACTGCGTTGAACGGATTATCCCATGAGCTGAGGATCGCCATTCACTTGAATTCCAGATCAGAGACATTACGGAACATGTACCGAACATGCAATTTTTCAGTTTCAGTCAAGTTCACTAAATCTTCTGCATTCTTGCAAGTCACAGGTCCCATCACATTGCTAACTAATTGCCACAACAAGTGGGAGCCTTAGCGATTTTAAATGTTTAAATTTTAGAGTGGTGACCCTGGAAAGATACGGAATCCTCTTTTCTCCAGTGATGTTTCTTATCTTCCAGGTGACTCTTACGTCTGTAATGTTCGTAGGGTAAACTTCGGAAATAGAATGTTATATCTGCTGATTCGCCGACCTGTGGTATCTGCTGCTCCAGTGCCTAGTTGCCGGAAAAAAGACTCACAGGAGGTAAATACAGCTATATTCTGAACAAACGAGTGCCAGAGCAAAAGTTATCATGGCCCCACGCTATTTAAAGGGGACTTTCTGACATTGACCCAGGCTGTCTGATAGGCGTTAGCGAACACCCGTCAACATCGATCGTGCCTCTATGAAATGCCTGAACGCTGATCACATTCGGTCGTGCTTCTGTGGCATGCATGAACACTCATCAACTTTTGCTGAATGGATTGAATGATTGACTGACCTGGATGCTTGCCGGCCTTCCTGTTGAGATTTTGGTGGAGCAGCAGGTTCCGAGCGTTCTGAGGTTACTTTCGGGAATCTGACCTTCCTGAGAGAATGACGGGTTTGTTTTTCGCTCAACGTTCTTTTCAGTCGCGTTCTGAGTTACTTTCGGGAATCTGACCTTCCTGAGAGAATGACGGGTTTGTTTTTCGCTCAACGTTCTTTTCAGTCTCTTATTCAGGAGTCTTAGTTGTTAGTCTATGAGTCGTATCCACCCACCGAGCTGCTCTTTCTTATGCTAGTCGGAACAAACGGGGCTGAACGAAAAACGTTATTGGACTGACAAAACTCAACGCAGGTTATGGTAGTTTCCTACACCCATTTTCCATAATGACTCAGCTGAGTACGGTCAGAGTATATCTTACTTCATTAGGCTAGATTAAAGAATGGTGAAACCGGTAGTCAGGCTTCAAAATATTTTCATGTGTGGTGTTGATTCAGATAAAAAAGTTCCCTGTCCAGAATGAAACTTGAGGTGGTCTTTCTAACGACTGCGGTAGACGAAGAATTCTGTTGAACCTCCTGTTAATGCCAAGTTAGTTTGCGAACGAATCATGTATGATATCGTTTGTGTACACTTCGATGTTTAAGAAGAAAATGAGCTTGATGAAAACTCGAGGGCCACATACACCTAATAAACCCTATGTAAGAGGAAATCGGTTTTGGTCTGTTGTAGACTATTCAGAGACCGTATAAGTAGTATCGCGTCAAGAAAAATTATTCGACATCACATAATAGTTCTAATTATCATGGAGTCCACAGTGCATGTTCCATAGCACACTCCCTCTTCACTTGGAGAGACCCTCACATAACTCACACCATTACCTTCTACACGTTTCAGAAGGCTTGAGGCGAAGAGGAAAAGATAATAGCAGGATTGGAGTAGAAAAATCGCTAACTAGATTAGCACCAGTTGCTTGGGGAAGTATCGTGTTCATCGTATTTATAACTGTTTTATATATCGGGCATACGACAAAATACTTTGGCCTTCGAAGCTTGTAAACACTGTGAGGCAGTCCGGGAAAAATCGATGGTTGGTTGGTCAGTCCAAGAGATTACTTTGGTAATTACTACCAT